CAGGAATCAGCCATCCTGTATTTCATCTCCTGCTTTCTTGTTATCTTGGCCAGGTGGAAGGCACAGGTTGGCTCTGCCTTTCAGAGCTCTGCTCATGGAGGTGGGTAGCTGCTGCAGCACCTGCTGTACCATGGCTTCCCCTGTGCCTCAGGGCAGCCTCTCCCCCTACCTCCACCAGAAGGGATGGGAACGAGCATGTCCTGGATCAAGCCTTTGCTTTGCACATGAATACGCCAGTTGTCAGGAATTTGTGTGCTTATGGTCTCCAGTTTGAAGCGAGCTTCCTTCTACACTATCCATTCCCTGTCTCTTGTAGGAGCATGGAAAATGCTATTGTATTAAGCTTCTCTGGTCCCCAAGTCTCCTTATTGTTTGGGCCAAACTGAGGTATTGTATGTGCACTATGAAATGGAATGTCATTTAAAGACTGACACAGAAAACCAAAAGGACTGTGCAAAAAAGCCCTCAAAGACCTGCCACTCAGTACAGGGCAATTTGCAGGTAAAACATGAAAAAGAGAAGTACTTACCATGGGTGACTAATGGTCTCTATGCCCATACCACAGAAAAAAAGATGGTAACCCCACTGAGGTGCTTATTTCACTGTACAGTGTGTTTCATGGCATCTAACATGACTCTGCAGTGCCACTGGATAATTTTACTCCTTATGTCCCTCTGCAGAACCAGCTCAGCAGCTGCCCAAGTTGCTTTGCTTGCTTGATGCTCCTGTGCAGTGCTGAGCAGCAAACACCTTGCCCTTCAGGGAGTAAAGAGGCCTACATAGCAATGCTGGTCAAGTACTCCTTGCAGGATAAAAGTAGATACAATAGGTATATGATAACAGGAACATAGGACTGGAGTTGTAATACCTTTTTCTATTGTTGTTCAAGTGACTGGGAAAGCAAAGGCAGCAATCTAGGGTATACTCTGCTAGAAAAGTAAAATCATCATTTTCACAAAATTACACGCTTCAAACCATATTAGCAAATATGTATGAGGACAGCTCTGTAAGTCACTTTGGCTTTAAAGCTCATGCTCTGAACAAGCATGGCTCAGCCCCATTCAGTAGAAGGAGGGGATAACATCCACTTCAAGTACTTGTGCAGTCCCACAGTCCAGAGTGAAGGACTGAGGAGTCAATTTTGGAAGTTCAGGTAACTGGAAAGGGAAGCAAAGGGAAAGAGGACGTAGAATGGTGAGGTCATAGTAGAAGAGGAACACAACTTGGATAAAGAGGCCTTGAAGAAAAGAAGATGTTTTGTACTTGGGAACTTAATTTTCTTTCCTCCAAGCACAGCATTCCTGCCTTGGTTGTTCCATTATTATTATTTTTTTTTTGCCTCTTCTCCAGCTATGCCTAGATGGTCATGGCAATTATTCTATGGCACTTCTTAGAAGCACAAGTTTTACCCAATTTCTGGGCACAAGCCCCTACCTCCCTAGCTCCAATGAAGCATGGTATACCCTACTGAGCTCCACTAAATTAATGTCTGCATTTCATAAGGGCTGAGCTCTTACTGGTAATGCGTCCTGGATTGGGGAAGTAGAAATTATGAACAAGAATTTAAGTTGCTGAATTCTTTACCATAACAGCCCAGTGTGCAGTTTAAATTCAAGTGCCAGTTCCCAGAGCAAAAATGTTTTTGTGTACCTGCAGAATATAAGCACTGAAACTCAATTGTGACACTTCCCAAAACAAAATTCAAGGGCCACTTTGACACAGCCTTGTTCACTGTTGTACAGTGGCTGAGCTCACCTGCCAGGCCTAATTACAGAAGCTTAGGGATGTTCTTGGCAAGAAAAAACATATGTCCCCAGGGAGGCTTGCGACCTGTAGCTAACATGTGAAGCACACAGAGAAGAAGCAGCAAACAGTAACCAGAAATACCCCAGTGCCCTTTGGCTCCTTCCTCTTTTCCTCTGTTTCAGGCTGAAGAAGTAGGATGTACATTCAACTGTTCCCACGGTGACTCTGTCCCCTGCTCTGCAAAAAGCCCACCCTCCCTTCACTGGATCAGAAACACCATACTGGAGACCCATTTGGTCTAGCAGGATTTGAATAACACCCGAGGAAATCAGCAACGAAAGGAAGGGAAACCAGAGTACTGCTGTGGTTACAGACACCTCTCCCATCAGCAGCACTGGCCTCTGTGGCTCCCATTGCTGCTGTGCTTCCCTCTCCCACTGCAAACTCATCTCTTCCCCTTTGTCACGCCAGTACAATTCTTTGCACGGGCAAAGGTCAAGTGGATTCGGGAACTATCCCAAGCTTGGAAAATCTTCCCCCCGCCCCCCTCTCTAGTATTGCTCGTAACTTCAGAAAACTCTGGCCAAGAACTCTGACTTCCTTTTGTTAAGGAGTTTGTGAAAAGCTGGGATAGGTTTAGGAGTGAAAAATTAAGATATTTCCCAGAAATCCAGGCAAGAATTTTGAGAAGTGAGGATGCTGAAGCTGGAAATACAAATGTCAGGGACAATTAGGAAAGAGGCTCTAATACACTGAAACATCACAGTAGTTCTTGATTTTTTAACATTTCATTGCACTGATGGTGTACATTAAATTGTCTAATTCATTCTCTGCCCCATGCAAGAATAAGTACATGAACAGGATGTTGGCAACTAAAAACATTTTTCTGTTTATAGTATCACCATCCCCTATAAGAGAGATCACCGGGTGTACTTTACATAGATAAGAATAAATAACATAATGACTATGGGCATAGTTGCTTTGTGACTCAACTCCAAGGAACCAAAGAGGCAGCATCCAGAAGATTCAGCCTCACAGGAATGCACTGCATGTCTTGGGGCTTGGATCTCCATGGTGTTCAGCATTTCCTGGGAAATTATGAAAATCCCCACTTACTAAATGGCAGCTGAGACCTCTCACCACATTTGGGAAGGTCTGAAATGTGGCTTTCAATGATGGGCTCTTAAAGTATAAGGGTGGGGAAACAATACAGTAGGACCTGCTGCTTTAAAATACAAAGCCTAGAACTTTTCTCAAGGAATGTGTTTCCTTCCCTCCTCCTTTTGTTTCCCTAGATCTTACCAGTTCCCACATTCTTCCAGATTCATCAGGTGGAAAGTGTATTGATAAATAATAAAAATTAGAAGATACAACACTTTTAGGCGTGCTTGTTGCCTCTATCACGCGATTAGGCTGTAGCTGTTGGTTCACAATTTCTGTTACTGGGTGTTCACTGAATGGTTGTAAGATATAAAAATTGGCCCTTTCTCTTCAAACCTTATTGATTTACCTATTTTCTCAATGTAAAGTCCTCCATCCTGCTTCTCAAGAAACAGCCATCATCACCTGCACCTCTCTGCAGTGCAGAATGGTGGGGGAAGTTTCTTTTGAGTCCATTACCAACTCTCTAGAGTGACATGACTATTTTGCATTCCCTGGCACTTCATCATGAAGTACATCTAGGAGGATTTCTGAAATGCCTGGTAGTTCTGGATTTCTCAACTCTCACTCCCCTGAGCTGGAATGCCCTCAGTAGCCTGGTTTTCCAAATGTTCTCAAAATGGAGACATCTTGCATTTCTTTTGAAAATTGTGAATATGACTGTATTTACATATTTAAATAACCTTTCTACCTTGAGTGATGTGTTGCAGAGTGAATACAAGTCTCCAATTGGTGCACAGCAATTCTGATAATTATATTTGTGTTTTTGATATCTGCAAGTGTACATAAGGAGCATCACATGACATGTAAAGACAGAGCACCATACAGAGCATATGTCCTTTATAGTCTGCACAGTTATTTATGCCAAGAAGTGAAAGACTATATCCAATTTCACCTCCAATGTTTCTTAAGAAAAAATTCCCCTCTTGCTAGTGGAGCTCACAAGTATAATTCAGGGCTAACTTGGAGCATTTCTGCTCAGTTCAACCTGATGCTTTGCAGCATCCTGTCCATTCTCAGCATCCCTCTCTCCCATATTCCAGGCCCCTAGACTCTTCGCTCCCTCTGTACGTGGATGAATTGAGACACAAGCTCACTCTGTCCTGGGTGGTGTTGTGGAATGGTGTTTCTTTGGGCTTCCTCTCACTTTTGTGAGAGATGCCATTGTGCTTCTCATTGAGACCAGGGAAAAGTAAAAATGCTTGTTGTCCTTTTTCCTCCATCGACTTGTTTAAATGACCATGTCAAGTGTTAGTGTGTCAGTACATTCCTTGAGACATGTTTACTGGGGAGCTGCTAGATGAGCCAAACATACTTTGGTTTAGCGTTTTCCAGCCAAATAGGATATTTGTGGGCAGAAAGCAGCAGAAGTGTCTAGGAGGCCCTGGCACAGTGCTGGGTGCACCCCAACAGTGCCTGCTGACTCTGGGCGTGAAGCCTCGGCTGCCAGTGCTGGCAATCCCAACCTTGACCAGAGGTTACCAGTCAGGAACAGGATAAAATAGTTTTTTTTTATTTGGATTCTGAGTGGGGGCACACCTGTGTGACCCCACAAGGAAGCCGTGTTTTGAGTGGGACAGAGTTCAAGAAGCATTTGGACAACAGTCTCAGGCACATGGGTCGGGAGTTGGACTCGATGATCTTTGCGGGACCCTTTCAACTCAGAGTGTTCTGTGATACTGTGATTCCCTGTAAAATGCCACCCGGACTCGCTCCGCTCAGCCGTCCCGCCCGCAGGTATAGGCTCCGGGGCTCCCGCGCCCCGTCATGCTGCGAGACAAACACCCCGAAAGCGGCGCCGAGCTCTGCCGCGCCGCGCCACGCCGCGCCGCATCGGCCGGGCCCGACCCGGCACGGCATAGGAACCCCCCGCCTCGGCCCCGCCGCGGAGGCGTCGGGCGGGGACGGCGGTAGGGCGGGGATACCGCAAACCGCCTATCGCGGCCTATTTGTGCCTTGATGGACGTGAGAAACAGCCAATGAGAGAGCGCCGTCCCTGATGGGTGTGGGCTCGGCCGCTCGAGGCGCGGCCAATGAGCGGCGCGGAGGCGGGCGGGGGGCGGGGCGGTGTGTCGCGCCCCCGCGGCGCTGCGCGCGGCCGAGGTGGAGAGGTGGGAGCGGGCTGCGCCGCCGCGCGCTCGGGCTGAGCGGCCGCGGGGCCGGGACGGGCACAGCGGGCACAGCCGCGGGACGGGACGGGACGGGACGGATCGGGACGGATCGGGACAGGCAGGGCAGCAGCAGTCGCCGCAGCCATGGATCACTACGACCCGCAGCAGACCAATGACTACATGCAGCCGGAGGAGGACTGGGACCGGGACCTGCTCCTCGACCCAGCCTGGGAGAAGCAGCAGAGGAAGGTGGGCGCACCTCTGTCCTCTCCCCTCACACGCCCATCCGTCGTGCTGCCGGGACCCGGCCCCGCCGTCCCCTCTGCCACCGCGGCGGGGCCGGTGCGCACCCGGCCGGGGGCTGGCGCGGCGCTGCGCGGCGTGGCGGGGCCGCGGGGGCGGGCGGGCGGGCAGGTGATGGCGGAACGGGGAGGGAGGAAGGGAGGTGAGGCGGCAGGGCCCCCACAGCAACAGATGTCCGCCCTGCCACCGGCACCTGGCCCGCAGGTGCGGGCGGGCGGAGCGGGGACGCCGGGGGCGATGGCGGGGCCCCACCGCATCCCCCCTGCACGCCCGCCGCCTGCGCCCCGGCCCCGCCGGCCGGCGGCGGGACGGCAATTGGCTTCTGGTTTGAATGGTGTGGTTTAGGGCAGGGCTTGCGCGGAGCTCATGTCCAAAAATGGTAACATTCGGCCCTTTTTTTAAACCGAAAGGGTGGCGGTGGGGAGGGGAGCTCAGGAGGAGCTCCGGCCTCTCCGCTCGCTAGTTATTTTTTTTTCCCCTCCTCTTTTAAACCAAAAGCATCCTGTATTAGATCACTCAGGAATCCTAATCCCCGAAACATTTCCGTTTTAGTCACTCCATCAGACAACAATAAAGCAGAATTTGGAACGGCACTCGTGCTGGCATGGCAGGGGCACCGCGGGGTGCAGCAGGCTCCCGCCGAGCTTCCCAGACGGTCACTCGTTCTCTCTGGACTCTTTTTGGATCGCGCCTTGCACTGCTCGAGCTGCGAGCAGGCAGGAAAACCCCAAACCTTCCATGCGAGAGGGGACAATATTGCCTTTTATGCATGAGTGATATATTAATATATATAGTGTAGCCCGATGTGCAGAGCTTTCTGTAAAGAGCTGGGAACAACTGGGAAGGATAACACCAGTGAGAAGATGCTTATTCCTCTTTAACCTTTCTCCCCCCCACACACACTCCTCTGCTTCCAGATTAAGAGTTTTCAGGTTCTCTCTTTCAGAGCTATCTGAAATGGTGCCACTTAGAAGTCTTTACCCTGGAGCCTGATGAGTTAATTGAAGGTGATATCTACAGACCTTCTGTCAGCAATTTCCTCACTCAGGGACTTGAGTGGTAAGAGTAGAGAGAACAAGAAGTAAAGTGTACAAACAAGGGCATTTAATGGAGAAAGAGTTGATAGTGTGTGAGCTTACAATTCCAACAAAGGAAAAGCGAGGAATATAATCTTGGTCTGGGGTGTGAGTCCTGGATGGCTTATCGGAAGTCAGAGCTCTATTCCTTTGAGGAGGGAAGTCTCTTCCTTTTCAAAAGATCTGCCTGGCTGCGAACTCTGTTTCCAGCCCCACGCCTATGTCTGGCCAATACATCTAGAAACAGACCGTGGGGCCCAGAGCGAGATGGGCTCACAGGCTGTGAAGGGAAATGGTTGTCATGCTGTCGGTTTTTTTGGCTTTCATGGTGCAGGGAGAGGTAGAATATTTTCTGTGTAGTGGGACACTGATTTGGTTGTCAGAAGCAGGAGTGGAACGTTTGGATTCAAAAGAAGTCTCAAACCCCAGGTTCTGGTACATGCTGTAAATACGCTTTTAATATCACCTCCCTCCAGGAGACTCTAAGTCCTGTTGGTCCTATCACAAGAGGGTGACAGAGAGCTACTCTGTTAACTTGGGTTACTTGTGCGGAGGGGAGAAGCCAAGAGGGATTTTTACGGAATGAATACATCTGCTTCAGAATGATCAAAGCCGACTTCTTTTGATGGTAGATTGCTACCAGTTGAACTTGATGTGCTCTCTCCAGCTTGCTGGAGAGGGGTCTATATCATTAATTGTCTGTTATTGGTGGAGGGGTCACTTTGCTGTTTCTCTTCCTGCTGATGGACAACTGAAGCTGTTGTTCCCTTCTACCGTGAGTGCAAGCTCATAGTTTTATGGTGTCCCACCCCTCTGGTGTCTGTAGTTAGGAAGGATCAGATCTGGGAGCAATGGCTCTTCCCTGTTGCAAACTATAGGGTTAATGACGCCTCAGAGAGGTTGATGACTGGACCCCCAGCCTGGGCAGGCTGTGCAGATGTCAAAGACAGTCTTGATCCTCTCATGGGGGTTTGAATGTGACTAAAAGCCCTGTTGGGGTCTTGGGGCTTGCTTCCTTCGGAGGTAAGGAGGTAACAGTATCTACCAAGCATAAGCCTGGGATGTGCGATGCAGTAAAACTGTCACTCCTTCTTACCTGTGAAATGAAATCATTGCAGTAGTTAAATATAAATGTTCATTAAAATACCTGTTAGTTAATAGCTTACGGAGATCAACAAGAGAGATTCAAGCTTCCCAAATATTTGTGTAGGCTCACTTCAGGCTCTGTCTTTTCTGATTGACTCAAGTGTTTTAGGTTTCCCTTCACCTAAGTCTGATTGAAGTACCATTGAATTATTGTCATAATTATTATTTATAGCACTGAAGTCAGCCAGTGAGTCACTCAAAATTTTGATGCTCGGGCCCTCTCTGGGAGCAGGGACAGCATGTCTAAAGTAATACAGTGAGCAAGTGTCTGTGCAAGAAGTGTCTGTGTCTTGCTGGCTGTTTTCAACCCATCCCCTTTGTGTCCTGGCTCAGTAAGGCCCTGTGGGCTGAGGACAGCTGTGCCACAGTACTGTCCTGCCAGGCTTTGTGCAGCTAGGACTAATTGAGACTTGGGAAGCAAGCAGTCTAGAGATGTTGCTCAAAGATGAATTATGTCCAGCTTCCCTTCTCCTGGCTGCACGGGTTCAGCAGAACTCAGGGTGTACATCAGAAGTGGGAACATCTACTGATTTTTAGTAATGGCCTCTACAGGAGCATTATAAGGACAAGTTTGCTGAGTTTTTGGGAGCTGATTTGCCGGTTCCCTCCCTGCACTGAGACAGATATTATTACATCCTTTGCTCTTTGGGATGGTACTTTGAAATGGATAAATAGGCGAAGTGCAGAGTGAATTTCATATTTGAAGGGTGAAGCCTGGCCTCTTGAATATGATACAGAGAAGAAATTATGGTCTTGTACCTCTTCCTATCTGTCTCTTCCTGAGAAGCTACTGTTTTATGATGTAGGAATAAAATGACAGTTTCTGGGAGGAAAGCAGCTTTCCATAGGAAGCCTATTTTTCATGTCTATCAGAATAGACTAAGAGGTTTTAAAGAGCTTATCACAGCACTGCTATTCCTAAGTGGCAAAAAATACAATGTGCAGAATGAATTCAGCTACTTTTCATCTGATGTAAAACTCTGCACAATCTTTTGTGCAGGAGCAGGAGGTCTCTTGTGAGGATTAAAATACTTTCTCCTTTGAACTGTGTTTCAGTAGTTTGAACTGTTGAACTCAGTAGTTTCTTCTAATAGCCTTTTCTTTCTTCTGCCTTCTCTCCTGTCTGGAGTCAAGCCTCCAAGTAGCACTAGCCAAGGCATAATAAGATTGATCCTTGTTTCCCGGTGTTACAAAGCAAAACTTGCTGGAAGCCAGTACAACCTTCTCACCTAGCTGTCGAGATAGACAAGCTTGCCATGTAAAAAATACATACATGGGTGTTTAGTGGCCAAGAGATTGTCACTTGCACCCACAAGGACATTTCTCCCAGTTGATGACAAATGGCCAGCTGCAGTGTTCAATATTTTCCTGACGGGCTGGTTCAGGAGCTGGATTTGGCACGAGGGACTAGGTGAGCCTCTTGGTGCTCAGCATGCCTGCCTCATCTTCGCAGGTGAGGGGAAGAGTACTGGTGAGAAGAATAACTGCCATCTACCTCCAGCCTCCTGAGTGTCCCAGAGAGGTCAGGAATGCCACTGGGGTGAAGCTGATGTTGTTGGGGAGGACTGGTAGGGGTCAGGCTTCAGACCCTCCGTATAACAGACTCTCCCATTGGCCGCTCTCATTTCATGAGCTGGTTGCTCAAGGTACACCTCATTCAGGTTTATTTTAAAATCTGACCTGAAGCAACTGGTCTCAGCTGAAGAGCTAGCAGGGAAACTTTAAATGCCAAATTGCTTTATGTCCTGACAGCTGCTGTCTTGATAATGAGTAGGAAACGGTGTTCATTTGCAGCATGTAGAAGACAGCCATATGTAACTTAAATGCTGTAGGAAAGGATAGTAATGCTTTCTTTATTTAAAACAAAGATAAAATTGATGGAAATAAATGTCCTTGTCTTTATCCAGTGCTGCTCTGCCTCATGAGGCTGACATCTCTGTGGCAATGTGGCAATAAATAATATCTCTGTCTGAGAGAACTGTACTGTTCAGATTTGTGGTGCTGCTGAAACAGTGATAGCACAAGCTTTGGGAGCACCTTTTCTGCCCTGAAGAAGTGCTTACTAAACACAGTGGTTCATGAACTTACAGAAATTCTCGGTTAGAAACTGCAGTCTCCCAGAACCCCTCTCATCGCTCTGTGCCGTGTACTGCATGTAAAGATACAGTAACTAAAAAGCCATGGATCTTGTGGCCCTTCTCTGTCTCCAGCAGGTCTTACTGCTCTTGCTATGGTTTGAATTTTGCTGTGCCGTTGGAGGTGGGGTTGTTAATGATAGAAAGTATCCATTAAACAGAGCCCCTATGGAAACACCCCCACTCCAAGCCTGTAGCACGCTCAGATCAGGTGGTATGAGTGTGACTATTATCTCTGAGAAAATGTTAAAGTCACAATCACTGTTTCTTTTTCCCTCCTATTCAGAATGCTATGTAAGGGGGAAAACTAAGGAGAAAGTAGGCTTGGGCTTAGAGGAGACCGTATTCTTTGAGGAGGACTCTATAACAGATTCCAAGGATCAACTTGTATATGACTGAACGTATGATACTCACCAAAATGTGTTGAACTTTTCCTTCTAATCCTCTAGGGAAGGGTGAAGCACCTCAAAGGCATCCAGCTATCAGCCCAGTGATGTCAAGTGTGTCTGTCTGGGGAATTTCTTGCTGACCGCTTCAGGCAATCAGTTTAAATTCTTGTGCATGTGATTTAGTAATGACATTTTTTCTG